TGCAGCGTTGAGAGCCGTGCTCTCACTCCAAGATCACCAGCATGACTCGAGGTGCTTGGTCCGTCGGTGGTGGCGCGTAGCAGTGCAGCGTTGAGAGCCACGCTCTCACTCCAAGATCGCCAGGATGACTTGAGGTGCTCGGTCGGTCGGTGGTGGCGCGTAGCAGTGCAGCCTTGAGAGCGGCGCTCTCACTCCAAGATCGCCAGAATGAGGTGCTCGATCGGTCGGCGTTGACGCGTAGCAGTGCACCGTTCCGAGCCATGCTCTCACTCGAAGTCGGTGCAGACAGCGTAGTAGGCGCTGATCATGAGGGTGATGGCGATGATCACGAGCGTGATGGCGATGCTCGTGAGGGTGATGGAGATTCGAGAGGCAACAGATTGTAAGGTTGAAGAAGAGGTTGTACAAACCAACAGGTGGGTGCAGCCAGCATTTAGTTCAATAATTCTACACAGAACACTGACTAGAATTAATGCTAGCCCAGCAGTGTGGAAGCTGTATGGTCGTGGAAATCAGCACAAAAAAAGAAAGAAGCAAAGGAGCACAGAAACAAGATGTACTTTTTCATTTCCTGCACTGAAAATGTTAACGACACCCCAATATATATACATATATATAGCATAGCCAATGCACCACAGCAATGAGCCCAGATAAATCAGTGTTTATAGGAATTACTCCTACTCTGGCTGATTTTCAGGGACACTTAAAAGTTGAAACAAGATGTTAGATACAGAACTGGTCAGGGTTTTGATATGCACTACAAAACAAAATGTCCAAGGTATACTGTGTGGAAGACATAAGAAAGGTCTGCAATGGCCTCATTATGGTACTGAAATCAATAGTTAGTAACTTGTAAACTATGTCCTCATTAAGGATGTGTGGCTTATTTCCAGATAAAGTTGACCAGAAATTTGGCAGTAGAAAAGCTAAAATGTAAGTCAGGATCTCCATGGGACTCATATTTTACTACTTGTACCTGGTAACAAGAAGTACCTTACTGCTCAAAAGGATATGGGTGTTTCTAAGAATCAATTTACTCTGGCAGATTTTTCAGGGACACTTGACCGAGTACATAACCACATCGGTCAAGGTTTTGATATGTATAAAAGCTGTTAGAGATCGAGATATATTTTGTTGAAGACTAGAAAGCGACCGACATAAAAGGAAGGTCAGTAATGGTCTCATTCTGGTGTTGAACTATTGACTTCTTAACTTGTAAACTACGTCCTAGGATGTGTGGCTTATTCCCAGATAAAGTTGGCCCAGAAATTTGGGGGTAGGAGAGCTAAAGTGTAAGACATGATCGTTACATATATGCTATGACTGCCTGGTAACAAGTAGCTTAAACGCATATGCAAATGAAAGGAAGAAGAAGAAGAAGATGGTTGTGTAACACAAGTTAGCATCAAGGTTGTTACACGCAGACAAGTTTGTTATACCTTTGCCACACTGATGAGGCGGCCTTCAAGGACAGTACGGTGCAGGTACTTGATGCAGCGCCTTGCATCCTCAACATTCTCCATGGTGACGAACGCAAAGCCACGTGATTCTTTCGTACGAGGATCTATAACGACACGGCAGTCTTTAACCTGCAGTTTTGCCACATGGTGCATTAGTTAGTGACATAAGATTCACGCAATAAACAAGCAGTCCCATCCCAGATAAAAGGAGAAGCATCTTCGCAGATGGCATCAGGCATGAAGGAAGAAAGCAGAGCGCAGAGAGAGTAAGGGTACCTTGCCCTCTTTACTGAAGAACTTCTCGAGGTCAGTTTCTTGCGTCCGTGTGGACAGTCCAGTGACATAGAGGTTGTTGCCAGGATTCCTCACATCGTCTTTATCTCTGCTCCTGAAACATACATACATACATACATACATATTATTAGGAGAAGAGAACCGACCGATGTCAATATCGGTATCTTTGTGATGATGTACATCATTAACTAACTATTGTTTTTGACCAGCTATGTACATACTGTATGTAATACATCATCAGAAGCAAGCAGCATTATCCACCATCACAAGCAAAATGAAGAAATAAACATGAAACCGACTTGGACTTGCCTGGAGCGGCTCCTGTTCCTGGACCTGGACCTTGACCTGGACCTGCCACGCCTCTTTGGCGGAGGGGACCTCGAGACGCTGCGTCTTGTACTAGTAGGTGGTGGCGACCTCGAGATGGTGCGCACCCCCTTGGGAGGAAAAGGGGGGGGAGGGGGCAGGGGAGGCGACTTGGAAGCGGCGCGCCTCCTGGGCGGGGGTGACTTGGAACCGCTGTCCCTGTCGGCGGGGGGAGTGATGGAGCGCGCGGTGTACCTGAAAACAACATTTTTGTTACACTGTGGACAAGAATAGATGACGAAACTGATAAGAGATAAATTGGAGCATGTTTCTGTTAGGGGAGATGTGATGGTCTCTCTGCTGTTAGGGTAGGGGAGGGGAGGGGAGGGGAGAAATGAAATGAAGTGAAGTGGACTGACCTTACTTGGTTGGAGTGCGACATGTCGCGGTCTCGGTCTCGTGGCTGAACCTGACATGAATGAATCAATCAAACAGCAACAACAAGAAGAAGAAGAAGAAGAAGAGCGTAAGCAGTCAGAAGAGAAGAGAGCAGAGGCAGATGTATAGCAAGCAAGACAAGACAAGATGAGCGAGCAAATCTTATCTTAGGTAGATTACATCTTAGTTAGATAGGTAATAAATATAATAAAAGCAGGAGCAGCAGCAGCAGCAGCATATTATGAATGAAATCTTAGGTTGTTTCAAGGGAGGGAGGGAGGCAACCAACCATTATAAATCAATCAATCAATCAATCAATCATACACTAGTTAGTTTCAGATCTAGCTAGTATCGATCGAAATAATAATAATAATAAATCTAATAACAAGAATCGATTGGAAGTGGATCCAACGAGGGGAGGGGAGGGGATCCAACGAGGCGGCGAGGAGCCTTGAGCTTCTTACCAGGCGGCGGAGGCGTCGATCTCGATCTGCCTCTGCCTGCAGGCGTCGGTCGGTCGGTCGGATCTCGCTCGCTGGCTGGATCTCGTTGGCCGGCGGCGGGGAGAGAAGAGAAGAGGAGAGGAGAGGAGGCGACGGCTGCGGGGATGGGGATCGGGATGGGAGGGCGGAACCCTAGCTAGCTTTGGATGGGGATGGGGATGGGGATGGATGGGAGGATTAGGAAGGATTAGGAAGGAAGGATTTGGTAGGTAGGAAGGAAGGGAGGAGGGGAAAGGGGGAGAATGAATGAATCCAGAGCAGGGGGCGTTTCCTTACCAAATGCAAGTCTTAAAAGCATCTCCCTTTCCACGAAAAACAACCGGCCTGCATTTCTTATGTCCATCTCAAATATAAGCCGGATATGAGAGCCCGTCCGCCACATCTGACCTGACCCATACTGACCCATTCGATCCCACATATATTTCTTTTCATTGAATGGGCCCACTAGGCACCCCCTTGACCTACCTCGGCCTCTATAAATATTACTCTAAAATCCCAAAAAAAAACTAGGGGAGTCGCCGCCGCAAGTTACAGAACCACGTGATCCAATCTATAGGCATTTTCTGGCACTCTGCCATCACGGAGGGCTTCTTCATCATCCTTGTTGCCCCTCCGATTACGCGTGACTAGTTTACCAGTTAGTAGCCAGATGGCTTCTTCTCTCTTTTTTATCTTCAATACAATATTCTCCTCTATGTTTTTGGAGATCTATTCGATGTAACTCTTTTTTGCGGTTTAGGGTTTGTTCGGATCCGATGAATTATGAGTTTATGATCAGTTCTATCCATGAATATTATTCAAGTCTTTGCTCAACTCTTTTATGCATGATTGTTATAGCCTCGTATTTCTTCTCCGACTTATTGGTTTGATTTGGCCAACTAGATTGATTTATCTTGTCATGGGAAGAGGTGCTTTGTGATGTGTTCCATCTTGCGGTGCTCAATCTCAGTGACAGAAAGAGACATGACACGCACGTATCGTTGCTATTAAAGGTAACAAGATGGGGTTTATTCATACGTGAGTTTACCTCGTCTACATCATGTCATCATACTTGTTGCATTACTCCGTTTTCCATCAACTTAACACACTAGATGCATGCTGGATAGCGGTCGATGTATGGACTAATAGTAGTAAATGCAGGCAGGAGTCGGTCTAGTAATCTTGGACCTGATGCCTATATACATGATCATTGCGTTGGATATCGTCATGATTATTCGCTTTTCTATCAATTGCCCAACAGTAATTTGTTTACCCACCGTATGCTATTTTTTTGAGAGAAGCCTCTAGTGAAAACTATGGCCCCCGTGTCTATTTCCTATCATATATCTTGCTGCAATTTTTTTTTATTTATTTTATTTTGTATTTTTGTTAGATATATTTATCAAAACCTATACAATTTAATTTATCTCAATACCGTTGAGGGATTGACAACCCCTCTTACGCGTTGGGTTTCAAGTTTTTGTTGTTTGTGCGCAGGTGTTGTTTACATAGTGTTGCTTGGTTCTCCTACTGGATTGATAACTGAGGAAAATACTTCCCTCTATTGTGTTGCATTATCCTCTCATCTTCGGAAAAATACCAACGCAGATTACAAGCATCATCTAGCCATACCTTGTAATTGTGTATCACATTTGGCTTCTACTGTAAGACATATTATCAATGAATCAATCTTCATGATGTGTTCTTCAATGATTTCTTCGTGTGATCCGATTTCCATGTGTGAGTAGTTCGGTAAGGTCATGGGTTGAGGCACATCCCTGTAATCCAATGTATTTGTTGGAGGGGTCGGTGGAAGTACTTTGACTCAACGTCTCATATGTGTAACATAAAATTGCTTCGTGGTTGTCTCTTGTCTCGTTCATGTTCTTCGCCCCTATAGGTACCCAAGATCATGGAGAACGATCCATGGAGAGGCTAAGAGTAGGGAGACCGTGATGTGTTATTCTGAACACAAGTGACAGAAAGGTTTAGTACGGTAAAACGGATCCTATCTCTATCTCTGGGGATACAAGAGGTGTAGTCATTAAACGCCCAATGCTTTTGTCCGATTTTTATCTTAATTACCTAAGCAACCATGCGTGACGGGTAGGGCCTTCGGTTGGACAACTGACTCTTGATGCATGACACATGTCGGTCAAGATGTAATTTGGACACATACCCCACTTCGATACATAGCAAGCACAGCTCTATGGATGACTTCTAGGACACAAATTAAGATCATAATGGTCCCGCCGCAAACATATGGTTGTAAGCATAAGTCCTCATACACATGCCTACTTTTATTATAAGTGTTTCTAGTGTCAAGTTGATTCCGATCCGGTCAAAAGCTGGAATTTAATTCTCTTGCAAAAGCTTGTTAGAAACCCCTGACTTAAAGGGCACCGCCCTCTCATGGGTTTGATACCTCGGGGTTACCTCCGGGAAAAAGGCGAGAATTCTTTTTGCTCCTTTCTTGGATCACTAAACGGACTAATCAAACCTTTTTCTAGTGCCGTTGTTGTGGAGGATTTGTGTGCTTAGTCTTTGTGTTAGAGTTTGTATTTTAGTAATTAGTTTAATTTTTTGTTGCAAGTGTTGTCAGTAAAATACCCCAAAAATATTACCATGGCTCGTAATCTTGGCAGCTTTGCTACTCCTAGCAATAGTTTCATGCATGAACCAATTTCACAACCTGATGTTCCTGCCACTGAGTATGAGATAAAACCAAAACTAGTCTATATGGTTCAATAGGACCAATTTGGAGGCTCTGCTTCTGAGGATGTCAGTATTCATTTGTTGTCTAACATGACACGCATAAAGGATTATGATCCTGACGTTTTGAAGTTGCATCTTTTTCCTTTCTCTTTGAGAGGAAAAGCAAAATATGGCTTCTAGATTTTCCTAGAGGTAATATAACCTCATGGACTGATTGTTGTAGTAACTTTTTATCTAATTTTTTTCAATCTGCAAAGGTTATGCAACTTCATTCACAGATAACAAATTTTAAGCAAGAAGATCATGAGCTACCAGCGCTTGTGTGGGATCGCATGAAAAAAGCTATAAGGAATTGTCATAATCATGGAATGGAAGAATGGTTACTCCCTTCATATGTTTTATAATGTCTTAAATCCTATGTCAAAACCATGCTTTGATACATTGCATACAACGCTCTTAGTCCATATCATACACATGTACATCAACAGAAAGCAAAGATGTTTCCTTTGATGGTTTTGTTTCTACATTTTCCTTGCGGAGGAGAAGGAAGGAAAGATGAATCATGTGTTAGATTGTAACTAGCTAGAGTTTTGAGGGAAGACGGTGTGATGAACTTGAGGAAGCGCTCTGAGTAGAATTGTGGTTTAACAGAAGATACTGACAAGGGGTTGTACTTATACTTGATGGACTTATATGCATGCTCAATCTTCTTCTTCATGTTATACTTTTGGAGAATATCAATGATCCCTATGTAGAGTACCACATCATATACTTGGCAGAGCGATTTGCTGCCATCTTCTTCTTGTTTCTCTGCTCTTGCGGGCATGTTCACCCCTAGTTGGATTGGCAGCCTATCCAATTTGAGAGAAAAAATTAATCATCTATTGAACTCACAAATAACATTAGAACTAGAACATGAGAATTGACTAACATAAATTAATGAATGACCTTGCTGTGCATGGAATCAGAAGATCCACTTCCTCAAAACAAGCAGACGACAAACCCAGTGGGCTTCCCCGTATGTGAGGGCTAACAACGATTTCACCCTTTTGGTCGCTACCTCTTTGCACCAAAACCAACCCTTCACGATAGTTACAAGATGCTTTTTCCTCCATGGAATCTACATTAATCACCACCTCCAACATTAGCAACAATTAACCAACACATTGCTATTGTAAATGACATGTTATTGACTCAATACTTCGAGGATTTACATAAAAGTAATATATATGCCCGACGAAAATATGCATGCATAGTGCTTACCACCTTCTGTAAGAATGGCCAGTTTGTCTGGCACAAGACTTTCATGGCATGATGCTCCTCTTTTTAGGCTTTGACGAGCACGATAATGCAGACCAAGAAGCAAGCTGTAATCCATTATACCCTGATTCCTAAGAAACTCGCTGTTGGTCCCAATCTGCCTACATAGAACAAGAATTAAACATGGTTGTTAACTCAAAACTAGTCATGGCAATACATTTTTGTCATTCGTAGTGAATGCTTACTTAAGCAAAGCATCCCTCCAAGTAGGCTCGAGATGAAATGAATAGTTCAGATCTAAGTCTTTAAATGTCGTGTTCACGTCAATTTCAATTTTTTCATTTGAGCGGCCCAAAGATGAACCTTTCAAATCAAATCTTCGATGGACTCTAAGTTCTGTGTAGAACATGTTTCCCATCACTACAAACAGGAACTGCAAATACAAACAATCAAAACAAATGGTTCAACATTAGTCATTATTTCAAACAAAAATAACATCAATTATCTAATATGACATCTAACTAATATACCCTTTTAGAACCGAATG